GGAGACACCAATTGTCACACCCATAAAGCCTGACAGGTCCTTGAGAATCTGTGGTGACTACAAGGCCACCCTCAATCACGCGCTGCAGCAGTACCTATCCGGTACCTATCCAGTACCAGTCGTTCAGCATCTCCTGCATTCACTTGGGGGTGGCAGAATATTCGCAAAATCAGATCTGGCCCAAGCGTATCAACAGCTGCCAGTTGATTCTGAAACTGCAGAAGCCCAAACTATAGTCACACATCGTGGTGCATTCAAATGCAACAGGCTCCAGTTTGGAGTAAGCGTAGCCCCAGGCATCTTTCAAAGCCTGATAGAGAGGCTATTACAAGGCATAAAAGGGGTCATGCCCTATTTTGATGACATACTAATAGCAGCCCCAACAAAAAGCCAATTAGAGAAACGTCTCAGAACAGTCCTACAAAGGACTGAAAAATGCTGGCCTCAAGGTTAAGAAGGAAAAGTGCCAGCTATGCACAGAAAGGGTGGAGTTTCTTGGCTACCTTCTTGACAAACAAGGAATCCACCCTACAGAAAAGAAATTGGCAGCTATCAAAAATGCCCCAAGACCCAAAAACAAAACTGACCTCCAAGCCTTCCTGGGACTTATTAACTTTTATAACATTTTCCTACCCCAGAAGGCGACTGTTGCTGAGCCCCTTCGTAGACTACTCGATAAAAGGGCCTCCTGGATTTGGGGACATCGGGAAGAACATGCCTTCCAGCAAGTAAAAGACCTCCTTACCTCTGATGCAGTGCTAATTCAATATAACGAGACACTTCCCTTGGCTGTTACTTGTGATGCCTCACCATTTGGGGTGGGGGCCATCCTGAGCCATGTCCTATCAAACGGCTCAGAGGCACCAATTGCATTTTTTTCAAGAACTCTGTCAAAAACAGAAAGAAACTATAGCCACTTAGATAAGGAAGCCCTTGCTATTGTCTCTGCAATTAAAAGGTTTCATGAATATGTATATGGGAGACCATTTTCTATTATCACGGATCATAAGCCATTACTTGGCATTCTGGCGGGCGACAAACCTACCCCACACATTCTCTCCCCCAGAATGATGCAATGGTCGGATTCCTAGCTGCCTACGACTATCAACTAAAATATCGCCCAGGGAAATCTATTCCTCATGCTGATGCCTTAAGCCGCTCACCACTACCCGAGCCACAGGAAGATTCAGCTCCCACGCTCCCAATACTACAAATTGAGACAATTCCCTCACCTCCACTAACGGCCCAGGACATCGCCTTTGAAACCAAAAGAGACTCTTGTTTGGCACAAGTTCTTGGCTGGGTGGAGAGGGGATGGCCAGAATACGAACCCAAGGAAACCCTTAAGCCATTCAAAAACAGACAGACAGAACTTTTCTCACAAAGAGGGTGTGTTTTATGGGGAGACCGAGTCGTCATACCAACTAAACTACAAAAAAAAGTCCTACAAATGCTATACGATGGATACCTGGGCATCGTGCGTATGAAAGCGCTGGCAAGAAGCTACGCCTGGTGGCCAGGTATGGACAAACAAATTGAATCCTGGGTCGCCTCTTATAACAGATGCCAGGAGAACCACTCAGCCCCACCAAAAGCTCCACCAGCAGAATGGGAAACACCCACGGGGCCTTGGTCATGCATTCATATTGACTTTGCGGGACCTACTAGAGGCAACACTTTCCTAATAACTGTAGATGCATATTCTAACTGGCTCGAGGTCAATAAAATGAAAACAACCACTACAGAGGCAGTCATCAAGAAATTGAACAGACTCTTTGCCACACACGGCCTACCTGATGTCCTGGTTTCTGACAATGGGCCCCAATTTACTGCCTTAGCCTTTGAACAATACCTAGCTGAACGGGGCATCCGTCACGCACTCACATCGCCGGCTCATCCAGCGGTGAATGGAAGGGCTGAACGAATGGTTCAGTTCACGAAGAAAACCCTACAGAAAATGGAACAAGGTAATATCCACGATAAAGTCACTAGAATGCTGCTTCTTCAACACATCACACCTAACAGCATGACTAACAAGAGCCCAGCTGAACTCCTGATGGCCAGGAAACTCAGATCGTCTCTAGACTGCTTGCACCCTGCCTACACCCTGGGTTCCAGCAACAAGCATCGCGCCTTTAAGGTAGGAGACCTTGTATTTGCAAAAAAATTTTCTGGGGATCCCCTCTGGATTCCTGCTCAAATAACTCAAGTCACGGGTCCCCGCTCCTACCATCTACTGACCACTGATGGCAGAGCGTGGAAACGCCATATTGACCAGCTACGCTCCAGACTGGCTACAACTTCCATCCCTGACCCCAGCCTCGACACCAGGGGGGGAGGGGAAGCCGTGAGCCTGGAAATAGAACCAACACCTGTTCATTCAGAACTAACCCCGAGATCACCACACCATGGCTTGCAATACTCACCAGCTGTAGTTGAACCTGGGCAGACGAACACTTCACCAAGAAACAGCAGCCAAGCAGGTTCAGCGAGCCCGGGGAGCCATAGCGGTAGCAACGAAGCTGAGGACTCAAGCACCCCGGGGGCATCAGAGGAGAGTCCCAACCATGGCACCGGTTCACCGTTCCAGCTAGATCCAGCTAACAGTCCATCTGAACCCGAATTTGAACATGGACAATTGGAATTGTGTAAGTCAGGTAGACAGGTACGAAGACCTGTCTACCTACGAGAGGGGAGGGGTGTTCTGGACTAGCAGGCTCGAAAGCCTGCAACTCTGATTGGCCCGCGAATAGCAGATCGTGATTGGTCACCACAGACTGATGTGATTGGCTAGTAAACGGGCTGCCGTGATTGGCCCAGCCAAGAGCGGCAAACTCAAATCGCCTTCATTGGCTGCCTAGCCGCAGCCAGCCCTATATAAGGGGCTGCTGCGGCTGGGATTCTTTGCTCAGATCTGAAGTCACTAATAAAGAGCTGTTGTTGTATCTGAGTCTTGCCTCCATTCTTGAACCATCCTCCCAGATCTAACAGAAAGCATGGTGGGAGAATCTAGTGGAATTAATATAACCTTTTCTAGCATTACTGATTACTTTCCCCCTCACAATTTGGCCTGTTGCCTCTTCAGATGCTATGGGGCCTTCATCAGGCCTGGCTGAAATATAGTGCCCACCTTCAAAAGCTCTCTTGAAAATGTTTTAGGCCAGCATTTTCATATTACATTACAGGAAGCACGCCAAACTCAGAATTCTGTATATATACATATTATACCTATGATTTGTAAAGAGGGATAAGGCCTGAAAAAAATGAAGTTTCTTGAGAACAAGAGTAAAACTAGTTAGAGAGATGCTACCTGTCCAGAGTTTGCAAAAAATGGAAAGAAAGAAGGAAAGAATTAATCATGGTTAACTCTAATTAACACTGATGTGCTAAACCAATCACAAACAGGAACACTTTCTTGAAAAAAAGGAAGTAGGATTCCAATCTTCATATGTAGAAGTATGCAATTAATTCCCCCCTCCCTCTCTCTCCCTCCCAATTTCTGCCTTGCAAACATTGGATGGGGACATCTTGTATTGTTTCCTGCTATTCCCAAACTATGTAAGAGAGATATGGGCAGTTTAGAAATATGAAATATAAATACATAAATAACAAAAAAGACTTATTTTTTTCTTACAACACTTTTGTCCAATTCTCAGAAAAACGTCCTGGGAGTTTTGTTGGCAACGGTCTTTTCAAAACTGGTTTGCCACTGCCTCCTTGCTAGGGCTGAGAGAAAGTGACTGGTCCAAGGTCACTTCAATTTCTAAGTGACAGTTCTAGTATTGCTTGCATGAATTTTGGAAGGAATTAAGGAAATGTAACTTCTTTATTCAGTGAGGGAGCAAGGGACAACACAGTGGTTGGGTTTATACAACCTGTTACTTCACAACTTACTTTCTTTGGTGTTAGCTTAGTATATTGTGGTAATGTGATAACTGACATTTAATTATCATGGCTTATTGTGAGAATCAGTATACAGTATATTGTTGCAATATATTGAATAAACCATGTCATTAAAACCAGTCTAGTGTCTAATGTGAATAATACAAATCCTTGGGTCCAGAAAATAGTATTTTGCTCCCCCAGATCTATTGGAAAACTATTGTGTGTAATTTCTTAGTTAGTATTCAGCATACTTCCCATAAATCTATACATTGAGATTAGAGCAAACACATGCACCATTCAATACATCTACAAAATTACAACTAGAATTTTCTTCAATAATCAACAAACCTAAAAAGTAGTTAACTGCCCAAAACAGAATAAAAGGCAGGGGAAAAAACAGGGAAAAAGAAAGACATGAACAACAAAAAAGAAGGTATATAACTTCTCTTTCTCTCTATCATCTCTCTACTCTCTATCATCTATCTCTATCATCTTTCTAGCTCTCTAAGATCATTAGCTCTCTAGCTATCTATTGAGCTAGCTATCTAGCTGGCTAGCTACCTATCTTTATCCATTCTAACAAAAGATACAGAATTTTCCAGAGTCCCTTGAAACAACACTGTGAAGAATTAACACCAGCAGTTACAAAAGGATGAGCTTTTGATTGCAAATGGAAACTATTCTGGTACGTGGGATAATCTATCTTAGAAAAAATAGTGCTCAGATATTTATCCTATGCATGGTACATAAAAAAAACCTGACTTTAACTCTTAAATCATTTTCTCCACTGAACTTGAAAGTGGACACTTGAGCATGATAGAATAGAAACCCCGTATAATTCAACCTATTCCACATCTGCTGCCTGAAGTAGCTTTTTTAACTTAGCTAACAATGAAATCACCTCGGAAAATCTTTATCGTGTATTCAGTTCTTTGCACCTACAGAAAACAATAAATACACACAAATATCTCGAAGTTTTCACCAAACTGTAATACAATAATATTTGAAGAAGAGCAATACTTCAGATCCTGCATAAAAAATGACAAGTTGTAAAACTTTGCTGCTGATTCACAGCATCTGTTTTCACAGAAAGCCCTTGCTGAAAGAAGATATACCTTTACAATTTCTTCACCATCCACGATCTTCAATTTTTCTAAGTTTTCCTTCAAGAGCTCAGGTTTCATTCGCCACTTCAAAAGGCCCAGTAAACCCACTACAGAAAAGAGGAGGAATATATTCATGTTCAAAAAGAAACAGAATACCTTTCAAGTATAATATAGAATAGTTAGCTTTTTTTTTTTACCGTTTTGAGTTAGCTTAGTTGAGCAAATGAGAGTTGAAATGGCAAAGGAATCTCTTGAGCTTATAGAGAGCCCTCCGACAATGCTTGCACTCCGACTTAAGGTTGAGAGTTTAGGCTCTACTTGGCTGCGGGTTGAAGGGAGACTCAAGTACATGTTGACATCTTCCATTTTCTTACTATCACCCTTGAAAACAAAGCATTAATGAGATTCACTGACTTCAGATGATATTAACAGAACTTCTATGATTTTGCTGTACTCTTCCAAGTACAAAACCCTGCTTCCACAAAACCACACATTTCTACATGATAAGCCAGCCACATGTTTAAAAAACTGAAATGAGACATGAGCAAGCATAGGTTTGCAGTTGATAAAGAAAGTGAAAGTACCAAGTCCTTGCACATATTGGAACAGTAGGCTAATGATACACACTCGTATATCTTCATCCTGGGCCAATCAATATCAATAGGATTCTTTCCAGGTACCTGGATGCTATCAGGAATTAGGGAGAAGGGGTAGCCTTTATCTCAACCCTGGCAAAACTTGGTAGCTGTGGATTTTAACTCCACCCCCTGCCTTTAGTTCTATCCCTAATTCTCCCTGAGCGTGCACTTTCCAAATCAAAATTGGTGTACAAATTCATGTGTCTGTGAGAGAGAGTCCTCTTCAATTAACAGCTCTGCTTGAAGAACAGGTGGCAGCTGTAGCTAGGAATGGTAGGGTGCACTTTGTGCAAGTTCAGCCTATATACTAATTGTGCTTCTTTTTGGATGGGGAGAACTTGTTCATGGTAACTCATATTGTATACTATTTGGATTATTAAAATTCACTCTACACGAGGTTGCCCAACATCACTGTTGAGAAATGGGCTCAATATAAATGATTTAAATAAATAAAATTATACATTTTAACATAGTCAAGTTATGTAGATAAAGGGGCTTTTCTGTAATGGATTTTCAATGTTTTGCTATATTAAAGTGGAATTACTTTGAAAAAAGTGAGAAACTGCAAGGTTTCTATTTAAAGGCCTAAATAGATTACAGCCAGGTTAAATGAAAGACCATGCATTAAACTACTCCACTGGCATATCCCTTCTGCATTTGACTCGAAGTAAGCCTTCCATACAAAAGGGATTAAACAATCATAAAATAAAATAAAGTCATACTGTGTAGATTAAGGTAAAGCAATTAATTAATCTAAGTTATCATTTTCTTTTAAAATGCCCAAATTGGTCTTTAATGCCAGGATCATACTTAAAATTGGACAAGAGAATAAATAGGCAGCAAATGTAAGTAGTACATTTTATACGTGTGTGTGTGTGTGTGTGTGTGTGTGTCGATTTGGTGCTAGCCTCGTGCTTTGTTAGAATGTTTTTTTTTCTTCATCCTACATTATTATATATATTAATATATATATGGCATTGTTGTGGGATCTTTTTTCCCTAGGTAAGTTTCTTTCTCTTCAAGGAAACCTTGAAAATGCCCATTAATAAATTATTTTCCAAAGCCAAACCACTCTGCTTACATTCATGTTTATGGGCAATAGACTCTCGGGCTATGTGGAGCAGCAATGTTTTTCTTAGTATGGTTGAGTCCACTCTAGCTGCTGGACTAAGCTACTTCAAATCAATGCCTCAGCATGTTCTGCCTTTGTACCCTCTATTAAAAGCATCAAGGCAGGGCATTTTGCTTTGAAGAAAAGTCAGTCAAAAGCAAAGAGCTGATTCAGTGCAGCCTAGAAGCTTCCTTATGACACGCAGAAACTGGACACCACTTTGCTCAAAGTGAAACACTTCTCTCCTTTTTTTTATATGGCGTGTCAAGAGTATTCTGTAGAAAGTAATCAGTCGCCAATCCACTGAAGCCGAAGGCATGACAGTTGTAGTTCCTCTGAAGGGATAAATAATGCAAGCATCAGAAAATTGAGCTGGTTGTTAGCTGTGTTTGAGGATAGCTGGAATTCTTTTTTTCCAGAATAAACATCAGTGGCCATGTTTGCACCTGCCTTGCATGTGCTTGCCGTTTACAGGCAAACAAATTCAATCTCTCATACCAAGCCATGGGATGAATGCAGTCTGAATTGAACTCTGAATTATCTTCTCATGGAGGGAGAAATCAAAGCCAGTGATTTAAATCCCATCTTTAGCATTTAGACAGAAAGTGGATATAAAAGAGGCTTTTTCCAACAATTGAATGAAAATTATGGAATATTCCCTAAAAAACATTGATAGCACTAACTCTGCTGGTCAATATTTTATTTTGCAAGACTTGCAGTAATGAATGATCACCATTTATTATTGGCTTCCTCAACAAAACTATTTCGCCATGATATTTTTTCCAAAATAAAACTAGATTTCCTATTCCCATAATTAAAGTCTATAATGGAATACCCTTTTCCCTTGAGATCCAGTTGGCCCTACAATTTTAACTTTCTAGAAAGTTGTAAAAAGGTGGCCTTTCTCCCAAATATTGGGATAGGGTGAAGCCAGAGTTGAAAGGGAATGTTGTGGCTGCATCAAGGAAATCTGGCTATAGCACCAGGTTTTGTTGTTTTTATTGCTGTTTGCTTTTTTTTCTTTTTTGGTATAATGTTGTTTTTATACTATGATTGTGAACCATCCAGATTTCTGTTTTGAGTTGGGTATTTAACAAGTATTTTAAATAAATAAAGTGATGTTTATTTTTGTGGCCCCTGCATATAATATTCTATAAATAAATAAATCCTGTATGCAAGTTCATATATATATATATGCTTCCTCTGTAAGCTATGCTATATTTAAACAGGAAGAGGTCACTAAAAGGAAGAGGAAAAAGACAAAATAGGTAAATTGATCTACTGTAATCTGCAAAGGTGAACTTTTCTCTCATACTTCCAAATCAATTCTCTTTGCCAAGTATATCAACCAGCTAAATATGTAGCCCACAGAAGGGTCAACATCATCTTCAGGAGTTAATAGAAAAGTCACATGATCCTGGATTTGCTCAAGATAAACCATGGTTTGTGTACTGATTTGTACAACAAAGACACTGAGACTTAAACCCATGGTTTTCTCAGCTCCCAGCATTTCCAATATTAAACATCATATTCTGCTGACTTAAGAGAACATCATTTGAAAAACAGTACGCTACTGAGTTTTGAAGAAGGCTTGTAAATATTTGCATGATGGAACATTATGGTACTCTAAATCTGTGGTGGGATTCAAAAATTTTTATTACTGGTTCTGTGGGTGTGGCTTGGTGGGCGTGGCAGGGGAAGGATACTGTAAAATCTCCAGTCAGAGGTGGTATTTGCCAGTTCTCCAAACTACTCAAAATTTTTGCTACTGGTTCTCCAGAACTGATCAGAACCTGCTGAATACCACCTCTGCTCTAAATACAGTATAAGCCAGAGAAATCTGAAGAACTGTAAGAGTAAAAATAAGTTCATACACTGCACATTGTTTGACACTGTACCACACAACAAACAAAATTCAGACGAAGCATATTATGTCAAAGCAACTTTTCTTAGAGCACACTACAATATTTTGATAGCCTAATAAAAAGTTGGAATAAAAACTGGACTCAGCAACACCAAATTAATGCAATAAGATAAGATAGTAAGAGTGTACCTTTAAAACCACCAGTTCATGAATGCCATCAAGCAGAGTTGTCCCGTCTTCCTTCATTAATTTTACATAGGCCATTGCAAAGTTCTTTTCTCCTTTGTCTTTAGCTGAATAACCCAGAATTTGGTGTTAATAGTTTTTACCAACTTATTTAATTTTACATATTGAAACCAAGGAACAAAAGAGGTTACTTACACTCCAAAGATGACCGATGTCTAAACATAAAACGCAAATGAATTCTTTGCATATCCTCAATGGGTAAGGCTACCTATTTAAAGAAATGGCATTTGAAATAAATGGCAACTCAAGTTAAATAATAACATCAATGTAAGAAGGATGGAGGAAAATGTTACAGTTTTGAAACAGGACTGTCAATATTAATCCATAGAAATAGATGTCAATCCTGAAGCTGTCTAGATGGTGGCCATCTTACTATTCTACTGGGGTTTCTACTGGGTCTTTCTTCAAAGCTTCAATGCTGACAGAAACTAGAGCTGAGGGATAGGGAGAGTTTGTAGATACCTGGGATGCTCCAACCAAAACAACTTTGTTTCCCCTGGGAACCAAAGTCATGTGTGCAGATGGTTGGGAGGTGGAGAATAAGGTCACATCTGGACTGTGTGCTGATTGGACCATGTGACTGATGCAAAATAAGTCTGCCAAAATAACAGACTTGTTATTTTTATCAGTGACAACTCTTGAGTACAATGATTTTTCAATGTTTGTATTTTATCATATATCTTAGATTTTTTTTTAGTAAGTATAAATCACTACATATCTGAATATGGCTTGGAAGGATTTTTACATTTCATAATGAACTCATATTTTGGCTATAACTAATGTAGTCTTAAATTTATTATCACAATTTGGACCGGATTTCCATTGTTAAGGAAGTCAGTCATTAAGTGAACTGGCCTAATTTTACAACCATTTTCTTGCTGGTTCATTAAGTGAATTACAAGAATGTTAAGTGAATCCGGTCTTCCCCGCGCGACTTTGTTTGTAGGCAGCCAGCTGGAAAAGTCACAAATGATCCCGGGACACTGCAACCCATCATACAAACATGCTGCTTTCCATGCACCTGAACTTTGATCATGTGACGGCTCAGACACTGAGACAGTCATAAGTGTGAGGATCAGTCATAAATCACTTTTTTCAGTGCCATTGTAACTTTGAATAGTCACTAAATGAATGATTGTAAGTTGTGTTTCATTTGTGATTATATATCTCCATCTCAGATTTGCCACTGGAAACTACCATATAACTCATGAATTTTGCTTTGTTGTTAAGTTCCAACACCATGTATTACCTTCTAATAAAAATATTATATTTGCTGCTCTTTTAACAGAGGATGACTGGGCCGGGCTGAAAACTAGATCAGGCTAGATGATCCAAAGCTATTTAAGGAGAATATAAATGTTTCACTATAAACTTAACTTACATTTCTATCATAAGGGATCACTTACAAAATTATTCTTACTTAGGACCCAGAAGTCTTTGAAGTCACAGGAAATGGATTGACTTTACTCTTCTTGAGCATATTTTAATATGTTCTCTATAGTGTTGTTGTTAACAGAAACAGGTTTCCAATACACTTTCTGAATAGCTAACAGTCATCTGGAGCTATTTGTATCACATGTTTCTTACAATTTGCTTATTACCCATTATATATAAAACTACAGTAATGTCCACTACTTTATTCACCTGAAATTAGGATATTTATTCACCTGAAATTAGGATCAGTTCTGCATTTTATTAATTTTTTCAACTTTTTATATCACATTCATATTTTATGTTATATTATATTGTACTGCCCTACTGAAATAAAACATATTTATGGAAAACTATAGAATTATAATTATTGCTTTCATTTCCATGTAGTCCATCTTGTAGGATTCAAGCAAGTTAAGAGAATAGTTCTTAACTAAAATTATTTTTATGCATACATAAACATTTTGTAATTTGGATTTTTTTAGCTCTGTTTCTCAGAGGTCATCATTTAGCAAAATCAGCAATATTAATAAGTTGTCTTAAGATTTTAAACAGACAGATCTCTGGTCCTTGTCAAACCTTTAATGTCTCCATCCAACGGGGTTGTTTGACTTGATAGTAGACAACTGACTTGTATTCATTCACAGGCTTGTCTCCAGCCCCTAAGCAAATCACATTCTGTCCAAAACACAAAAATAAAAGGAAATGCTACTTCCTAGTTCTTATGATTGTACCATTTTCATCAAAAATACATTTTTTCATTCATAACTGTTATAATCCTTGAGATTAGTTTCTTATTCCAGAAATGGAGAGGTATATAATTTAAACATGTATTGTACAGTCTATAGCAAGAATGTCAAACTCAAGGCCCGTGTGGTGGCCTGGAAATAGCAAAGCACTGGCCTTTGCTTCTGCTAGCAAAAATGGGGTGCACACGGTTCCCCCATGCCCCATTTTCAGCCTGGACAGCCTGCTGAAGCACTCTGCAGGTCAAAACAAGGCATGGGGTGGTGCATGTGGCCCCTGTATCTCATTTTGGCCAGCAGGGTGTTACAGAAGGCATCCATTCCATTTACACACATGATCTGACCCTCAAAGAAATCCAGTTTGACATCCCTGGTCTATAGCATTATCTTCCAACCATAGCAACATCTGGATGGGTGGACTTCAAAGCTCGGTGTTCTATTGCCAGCATGGCCATTAATGAAAATTCTAGGACTTAGTCCACACAACCTGGAAGTTGTCAAAGTTGGGAAATCTTGTCTAGAGAGTAGATAACTGAAAAGGATGAGATTAACTAAAAATATTCAGGTACTCAGAACCGATTCCAGATGCACTTTTATAAGACCACCTAACTGCCTTTGATCTTCTGGTTTACTTTTTATTTGATAGTGGGTGGTTGTAACTCTGTTGTGAATTTCCTAGTGTTTCATATGCTTTGTCAGGGTATATGGGGAAAGTTTTAAAAGGTGACTAATTAAAATTACTCCTCCCATTCCAGGCCATAGAATTGGGTGGTGAAGATCCCATAAAAGCAGGTGTACCCTGACCCTTGATGAAGGCATAACTGTTTGTTTAAAACTGAAGCAATTGCTATGTGATACACATACTGGCACTTCTTTGTTCGTTTAAGAAAATTTAGATGCCCATACAGGTAGTCCTCAACTTACGACCACAATTGAACCCCAAACCTCTCTTGTTATGTGAGACATTTGTTAAGTGAGATTTGACCCATTTAATGACTTTTCTTGCCACAGTTGTTAAGTGAATCACTGCAATTATTAAGTTTTTAATAATAATTTTAAAAACACAGTTTTTAAGTGAATCTGGTTTCCCCACTAACTTTGCTTGTCAGAAGGTCACAAAAGGTAATCAAATGACTCCTGGACACTGCAACCATCATAAATATGAACCAGGTGACAAGTGCCCAAATTTTGATGCTGCAACGGTGTGAAAAACAGTTATAAGTCACTTTTTTCAGTACCTTTGAAATTCTAAATGGGCACAAATGAATTATTGTAAGTCAATAATTATCTGTATTATACAACTATATGTGTCTGTGTGAGGAAAAAAGTATTTCCTAAAAAATAAAATACTGAAACACTTTTGCCAACTATTTCAATGGGGAGGGGGAATAGAAGGTAGTAAAATAAAACTGGGTATTCCCCTACTGCCATCCCACCCAAAGAACCCATATAGGAGGTAGAAAGAGAGACAGTTCCCAAAATACATCAAGACCATGAAGTCTAATGATGGTGTGAGAAGAACTAAACCTCAAAATGAATTGGGATTGGCAAAGAACATCAAAATACATCCCCATTCCTTCCAAAAAGATGCTTTTGGAAAAAGAAAAACTAGAACTGGTCTGCCAGATTTCCAATGAAGATGGCAAAATGCTATCAGGCAATAAGCACTAGATACAGTAAGATAACTCAGCTCCTATTTTGTCTCAGTCCACTCTCTGAGAAAAATACACATGTTCCACAAGACATATTTAACGAAGTGGCCCATGATATGCTGATTAGCAACCTAATTAGGTGTGAGCTGGATGGCATTGACAATTAAGTGGAGACATTGTTGGCTTGAGAATCATACACAGAGTATTCCCTGAGAGTTTGTCCACCATCCTGGAGGGAAATATGGAGTGGAGTGATGCCTGGTTCAGTGCTGCTGCCACTGTGCTTCAGCATTTTTAATTAATTAAATAAATAATGGCAAATGAGATGACAGTAGGTGAGAGAGGTAACACCAGAAGGCAAAAATAAACTGTCACAATAAGTTAGAGAAACGGACTGAAAATTATAAAATGGAATTTAAACAGGCAATTCCAGAGTTCTTCATTTAAAAGACAAGCATCAAGCACACAGCCACAAATAGTCCCCGACTTACAACAGTTCATTTAGTGACTGTTCAAAGTTACAATGCCACTGAAAAAATGACTTATTTTTCACACTTACTATCATTGCAGAATCCCCATGGTCAGGTGATCAAAATTCAAAAATGTGGCAATTGATTCACGTTGCAGTATTATGGGGTCATGTGATCAGCTGTTGCAACCTTCTGCACAATCAATGGGGAAGCCATTTTCACTTAACAACCGTGTCGCTAACTTAACTGCAATGATTCCCTTAACTGTGGTAAGAAAGTTCATAAAATGGGGGATAACTCATTTAACAAATGTTTCACTTAGCAACATAAATGTTGGGCTCAAAGACTACCTGTATCAAATGGGGAATACCTAGCTAAGCAATAAAACTTTGGGGGGGGGGGGAATTTTGAGGAATGAGTTTTGAGTATAAAATGAATATGAGTCTGAAGTATAATGCAGCTGTGGTTTTAGGTTGCGTGAACAGGAGTACAGTTTCTAAAATAATAATCCCACTTCTGCTCCACCTGCTGACAACTCCACCTCCTTGAATGTTGGATCTTGAACTAGATGTGACATTTTAGGAAGGGTGGAGAGCAATGGGAACATGTTCAAAGAAGGACAATGAAGAAGATTAAATTAAATCCCATGAAAAGAAAGTGAAGGACCTGAGAATGTTTAGCTTGGAGAACAAAAGGTGCTGGAGGGACATTATAGCACTGTTCAAATATTCAAGGATGATACATCGACAACAGCCAGGAATTGTTCTTCCTCGCCAGAGGACAGGATGCAGAATATTAGATTCAAGTTACAAGAAGGCAGATAGTGCTTTAATGTTACAAGAAAGTATTAAATCAACAATGGAAGGATTTAGTTAGAGGTGTGGTGGTTAAATACCTTCACATAGGTATTTAAGCAAAGATTTAGACAGTTGTCTGTTATGGCACTTCTGTTTGAATTTTTATATGGAACAGGCCGTGGCGGATGGCCTAAATGATATTCCCAAGTTCTGTGGAATTCTCTGATTTCTTTCTGTGCTCGGGAATTCTGAAAAGTTAATGTGACAAGCGCAACTATTTGGAAATTTTGATTAGTGGCAGCTTCAGCACCAACACTGCAAATAAATAAATAAAATACAAAGTTGAAGAAAAATGTCCAGGGAAAGGAAAGAATGAATAGCCTTTCACAAAAGTTGTCAATCCTGTTAAGTCCAATTTAGAGCAAATAGAGGGTTTCAACAAATAGAAGAAAAAGAAGCCAAAGAACCTATTTCTTTTATTCCTGCTATCTAGTAAAATGGGCCTACTGTCTTGGAAGCCTATCATGACAAAGAGGGGGAAAAAACACCTAATTCCCCAAATTCTCTCAAACCTGCTACCAGACTTGTTCAATGGTAATGGAAATGGCCAGAATGGTAGGATGGACATACAGACAAGGCAGATATTAAGAGGTAAGAAAAATTAAACACTATAATGTGTAAAGGTCTTGCCAGTTACATAATTAAAATCCTATTCTATCTTCCTCTTCTTTTAACAATGCTTCAAAATGTGTGTGTGTGTGTGTGTGTGTTTGTATATGTGTCTGGATGGACATTCGGACGGGCAGACAGAATTTCCCCGACATATTATTTTTAGATGGTATTATTTTTTGTGTGTTTTGGATTTGTATTACTTTGTACACATCCCCTTCTCGTATCTCATTGAAGATGGGCAACCACATAATATTCTAAACACATAAATAAACATATGCATATGGATTTGGGGAGGGAGGAATCTCCATAATTACTTTCAATTGGGCAGGATTTTTATATAAGTTTGTAACTTGTGAGGGTATCATTTAAACTCAGATTTGTCTTTTGGGACAAATAAACTCAATGATATTTCTTTTTTATGTTTGCATCATGTAGCTATTATTTTCTTCAAATACTCTCTTAATTTCTTCCTTCTCATTTCAATCAACTCTATTAATTCCACATGAAATTTCCTGGAAATTTAACAATGCAAGAAAGTAATTATTTTCAAACTTTCCTGTGAAAAGAATTGTTCGCTGATTATATATGTTATTTTTGCACCTCCTCTCACTTTACAATTTTCTGTTAAATTAATTTTTTTTATCACATCAGAAGCATCTGTAACTGAGTTAACAGTGCACATCAAAATATATGAAATAAGTTTCTATAAATTTGAAGGGACAACAAAGGAAGAAATAAATGCATTGCATTTCATAAATTACCCTTTAATATCATCTTATTATACTTGAAACTAGGCGTGTCCAACATGCAATATGCAGGCCACATGCAGCCCTGGACACCTACCGTGTTTCTCATAAAATAGGGCCGGGTCTTATATTTTTTTGAGCCCCGAAAAAACGGCTAGGCCATCTTTTCGGGGGTGACTTAATTCCCCCCCTTGCATCCTCATCTAGAGCGCCCCGTGGGCAGTCTCGCCACCAGCCGCTCCTAACAGGTGATCTTGGCAAAGCGCAGAGAGCTCCTTACTCCCACCAAACACCTTTGCTGCAGACCCAAGACCTTTGGCATCCACCACTGTTGCTTTCCCTTCTGCCCATTCTGCCGCCACGTTTGAAGCTGCCGCTTCAATGTTTGGAGTGCCGCCACCATTTGGAGCACCGCCATCATGTATGGAGCTGCTGCTTCTGTGTTTGGAGTGCTGCTGCCATTTGGAGTGCCGCCACCATTTGGAGCACTGCCATCATGTTTGGAGATGCCACTTCTACGTTTGGAGCTGCCGCTGTGTTTGGAGTGGCAGCGGCGCTCCAAATGGCGGTGGTGCTCCAAACAGTGGCAGTGCTCCAAACGCGGAAGTGGCAGCTCCAAACGCAGCAGCAGCTCCAAATGCGGACATGGCAACTCCAAACAGCGGCAGTGCTCCAAACGCAGCGGCAGCTCCAAATGCAGAAGCGGCAGCTCCAAATGGCAGCAGTGCATCAAACAGCAGTGGTGCTCCAAACGTGGAAGTGGCAGCTCCAAATGCAGCAGTGGCATGGGCAGAAGGGAAATCAACAGCAGCGGGCACTGAAGGTCTTGGGTCTGCTGCAAAGGTGCTTGGCAGGAGTAGGGAGCACTCCGCGCTCTGCCATGATCGCCCATTAGGAGCAGCTGGTGGCAAGGAATTACTGCCCGCAGGGAGCTCCTAACGGCAAGTCCCCCCGCCCTTCCCCCCATATAGCATGTTTTAAAATAGGCCTGAATTTGGGGGGAGGGGCTTAATTTCATTTTATGCCTAGAAAATATGCTGGGTCTTCCTATTGGGGGAGGCCGTATTGTTGGAGAAACACGGTCCTTTGATATTTATATACAGTAACTATATTATATATTTTGCATCTTATCCAAGAAGATTCCTTCTCACTCAATGTGGCCCAGGCAAGCCAAAAGGTTGGCCAACCATACTTTAAAGCAAATATTGGATTTCAGATACAGTCATGAATCCTCATTGGTTTTCAGAAGGAATCTTTCAATTTATACACATTCTTCTTCCATCTTACATGGACTAAGTTTTTAAACAGATTTAAGCAATTAGCAAAAAACTAGTGCCAAAAAAACAAACAAAATAAAAGTAGTGTATCAAGAAAAATGTGCATCATTGACATAGTATGTTTGATCTGTAGAAGTGAGCATTTTTGGGGACTCAGCATTTTTGTTTTATTTTGTATAATGCCTTATTTTATAATTCCATTGTGTTTTTATTCTTGTTTAGAGTTTGTTCTGGTAGATAGGGAGCCATATAAATATGTTCAATAAACATACAAATAAGTAAGTAGGCATATTATAACGTTGCCTATGCTGTAATAATTTGAATATGCTCTTTAGCAGTTGCTACTTAAGTAAAAGCAGGGATTTTGCAACATATTTATACATTTTATCTTTAGACATCACAAAAAAGGTAACACAAGGAACACTCCAGTAAGTGAAAGGACAAAAAATTATACAGCTTGATCCTTCAACATTTGTCCTCACTTTTTCTCTCATAGAAAATGTTTTCTGACACAGTCACTTTAGTCTGCATGTCATCAGTGTGAAAAAAGGAAGGCACGAACTTCCTTTCATTAACATGTAGGGAGGATTAGAAAACTATTATTTGACGTGGAGGTCTTTCAAAATAATAATGCAACACAGAACTTTTGACTATTAGGCCTATGCAAAACTTCAAAGAGGTACTACATTTTGACAAAGTTTTAAACAGTACATCCTCTCGAAGCTGCTTTGTAAAGGTTTCCTCTAAATTCGATAGTCATGTGATTACTAGAGTGATGTGCCAGCATGGTTTCCTCCAATTTATGTTCTGGTAATATTTTATTAACATTTACCTTTAATCTAATCTTTATTAACTAATCTTTATTAACATTTACCTCCCTCCACTTTGTAGACATAGACATCTGCGAGACCTTCTTGACAACTATATTACAAATATTTTATTTTTAGACACAGATGCTGCCGTAGTAATTGCCTCAGTTGGAGGTAATCATACCATTTTACAGGCTAATTTTAATTGGTCTCTTCCCCCCAAGAGAGAACCATGTTAAACAATCTAAAACATAGTAACAAGGCAGGATTTTTTATTGGTCCAGTTAGTTTGGAGATAATTTGGACCTTGTCGTTCTTAGATTTTATTTTTAATACTTTCCCTTAGCTTATTAACCAAGCAATACAGGTAGTTCTTGACTTACAACAGTTCATTTAGTGATCGTTCAAAGTTACAACGGCACTGAAAAAAGTAACTTATGACCATTTTTCACAGTTCCAATCTTTGTAGCATCCCCATGATCATGTGATCAAAATTCAGATACTTAACAACTGGTTCATACTGGCCATTGCTGTGTCCCAATGCCTTCTGCAACCTTTTGACAAAGTCAGTGGGGAAACCACGGTCACGTAACAACTAGGTTACTAACTTATAAACTTCAGGGATTCACTTAACAACGATGGCAAGAGAGTTCATAAAATGGGGCAAAACTCATTTAATAAATGTCTCATTTAATAACAGAAAGTTTGGGCTCAATTGTGGTCATAAGCTGAGGACTACCTGTAATTTGTTTTCCAATATTCTAGTGTTCTGAAATTTTCAACAAGCTCTTTGGTAAGTGTTTATTACCAAAGAAAAACCTGATATTTGCCACTTTTTAATTGCCAGATTAGATTCCCATTTCTTGAACCTGTGACTATACATGGAAATTGAATAAGTTCACACTCATAAAAAATGTGCAGGTTGAAGTTTGGAACAAATGCTATGAAATGGACCAAACAACAAACACTAAGCATTTTAAAGGAGTGCTTGCTTAATCTAACTAACTAGCATTTTGCCTTGGTCTTCCATTATCAAACAAACATCTCAAGTTTTAAAATTCCTCTTTTTTTCTTCTCAGTTCATACTTGGTATACTTTTGTGATACATACCTCATATTTCTTATATGCCACACAGCACACTAAACCAGAAATTAGGCTGTAGGAATTATAAAGCTGGGTTACACTAAAAACAAATCAACTATGCTAGAGCTTCTCACAAAGATTAGATTCTGTGAATCCAGTCTTTGTTTCATGAGTTGGATAAGATAAATTGCAAAAATTAGCTTAGAAATACACATTTCTGCAAACAGAAGTTATGGACCAAAGCCACTAGATTTATACTCAGAAACTCTACTGAGGAAAATACCACTAGCCTTTAACCATGTTTTTTTAAAAAAATATACATTAACAGCAGAACAGCACTTACAGGTATCACTTTTCCATCTTCATCACAGACACACATGTTGACTTCTACATTTCTCTGAGTAGTTTTATTAAATTTATCTAAATCTCCATAGAGCAAGGTAATATAGATATCATTTCTTACATCGCCTGTGAAAGAAACAAAAAGTTAGAAGTAAGTCGCTATAGTGACAAAGCACATTAAAAGCTATTTCTTCCATACCCTGTGTTATACTAGGACATTCAAGAGGAAAATGAAGTTAATCTTAATGCTGACTTCATTGTCCCTTCAGGGAAAGGATGATTGTAGCTCCATCATCAATGGATAATCCTCATTCTGCAGTGACACCTTCTGGTGAACTTTGGTCAAATCAGCTAGCTGAGAAAGTGGCAAGGATAACACAGAATTCAGAGAATTGTGCCATGAAGGCTATGTAGTGAATGAGCAAAAATAGAGCGTAGGGTGGGGAGACAAAAACTGGGAAGAGCAAATTTCACTTGAAAACAAGCCCCTTTCATCTTTACCTAAAAGCACATGCATACAAAAAACAGACAAACTCCACTCTTCTTTTAAGATAAGGTTTTTGCTTGCTTTGTCTTGAATCTATGGAAGATGCATCTTTTTCACCAGATGTTGAATGCCCAGCAATGTTACATTCTTTGTTTTCTAAACCAGAGATAGTATTCAGCAGGTTCTGACCAGTTCTGGAGAACCAGTAGAAGAAATTTTGAGTAGTTCAGAGAACCGGTAGTGGAAATTTTAAGTAGTTCAGACAACTGGCAAATACTATCTCTGGTTGGCCCCACCCCTATCTATTCTCTGCCTTCTGAGTCCCAGCTGATCAGCTGGGTCTTCTTTTGTTGCCTTCCACAGGAGAACAGAGCTGGAAAGCAGGTTAGTGGAGTGGGGAAGGAATGGGATTTTGCAGTATCCTTCCCCTGGAGTGGGGTGGGAATGGACATTTTACAGTATCCTTCCCCTGCCACACCCACCAAGCCATGCCCACAGAACCGGTAGTACTTTTTTTTAAATCCTACCACTGTTCTAAACTATTATATGTCAAATAACAGCATAAAGACATGCATAGGCAAATAGATTAAAAGTACACACACATCCAAATAAAACATGCCTTTATACTAGGGGAGGAGGGGAAGAGGAAGGAGAAGTTGAGGAGGAAGAGGAAGAGGAGGAAGGAGGAAGAAACAGTGAGAGGAGGAGGAGGAGGAGGAGGAGGAGGAGGAAGGCTATCTGGGTGCCATGAAATTATCTGGGTGCCATTAATTTCCCACTGAAGATGAAAAAATTAATTGAAGAGTAACTACTCATAAATCTATTCTTTTTACGTAAACACTTGGCATGACAAAGAAATAAAAATATAATAGTTACTGGCCAGAGGGATTACAGTAGAGGATTTAACTGTATTTAAAGTAAAGTTATATTGTAGTTTGGTTATTTTATGCATTATTATCATATTTAGTTTCCACACAATCCATTCTGGACCTTAGGAAAAAAAAATTGCTTATTACAGTAATTGATGTAGATACGCTTGGATCAATTTAATTTTGATTTAATGAAGAGTTATAAGAAAATTATAAATCTAAGTAAAGATGCTTTTATCCTTTCCCTTGATGTCAGGAAGGGAGGGAGGGAGGGAAGGAAGGAAGGAAGGAAGGAAGGAAGGAAGGAAGGAAGGAAGGAAGGAAGGAAGGAAGGAAGGAAGGAAGGCCTTTCAATTCAAAAGAAAAAGGATCAGTATCATACCTGGCATGATTATTTCAGGGAATCCAAGCTTCCTAGCAACAACTGTTGTCCTATCAACAAGGTGAGGATGGTCCTTTCTAATATGAGTAATGTCTCCAACAAGCATCTTCATAGTTACCCATAATCCTGTATGACATACAAAGATAAAGAAGATTTATCATGAAATGGGAACTAAGGATGCAAAAAAATATAGAGATAAGAAAGACTAATTGAGAAGTTCCATTGTAAAACACATTCACATAAGCAGGTAGCAGCAGGCTCAAAGTCTACACTATTGAAGTTTTTGTAGTATGAATAAGGGGCTCCATTTAAAGCTCATATAAGTAAATATATTAGAAAGTGCATGTCTATCCCTATATAATATTGCTGGTTCCTAGTACTTCTTCCAACTGGCTTAAAGGCTTCCAGTCATGCCATCACTTTAAGAATATAGATATGGGAGGATGGAGTAAGAACAGGCATGTACTTCACCTTGCCCGCCACTGTCACTTTTGAATGTGGTAACCTTGCTTAAGAGGTTGTGCAAAAACTCATTCTCTGGCACTCTGAAATAAAAAGAATAATATTACTGCAAACCAAAGGAATATAATGAATCAAAGTCAGTTGAGACAACTTTTTCATCAGTACATGAATGTGAAGCCATACGTTTAGAGTTATTGAATATGTGATAAGGGAAGAATTCTTAAACATAAAACAACAAATGCTTCTAAGTTTAATAAAAAGAAAATAGTGGAAAATCCAGCAATCCACAAATGGGAAAGGGAAACAACACATTGTTGCTTCAATACTGAGATTCAGGACAAGACCTTCTAGAGCTTATCTACAGATACCTGCACAATAATTAGTGAAAAGAATGCAGTAGTAAAAACATATTTGGATTTAGATTATCTCTACATGTGCTTTCAGTAAGCAGAAGATTCCTATATATGAAAAGTACCTTTAGATACAGCACATTTTGATTTATGTTTATAATGACTTACAATATTTTTTCATAATATCTGCATCCTACTGGAATAACTTTTTTTACACATTAAAAATGTTAAACAACAAAATTGTCTTACGGATGAAAGGGGATGAAATATTGTTTCTCTTCATCACTTTCTATTTTTCTTTTTATAATATCTGAGATGTCCATTACTAAAGGAAGAAAACAAAAAACTATCACGGCTTGAAAACAGGCAACAAGTATAATTTCTGTCCCAGTTAGAATAATATATATAACTATATATAACTATATATATATAACTATATAACTATATATATATATATATATATATATATACTCCTCCCCCCCCACAGCCACACATGAAACAAACAGTGCACAACATCTCAGACAAGAT